CTCTATTATTATGAAATGCTGTAACTAATTTTTAAAAATGAAACTTCTAAATTTATAAAGGAAATTTAAATTAATTATAGATATGATAAATTATTTTTTAAAAAATAAAGTTCCAGAAATACAGAAACATAAAATGAAAAGTGAGAGTCTCTCAATCCCACAAGATATACATTTAAGAGATTTGAGAACATGTACATATACTCATCATGAGTGTTCATAGCAGCATTATTCATATTAGTCAAAAATTAGAAACAAAGCAAATGTTCACCAACTAATTCATGGATAAACAAAATATGGTATATTCATACAATAAATCCACCCATTAAAAAAGGAAAAAAGTATGATATATACTACAATATGGATGAAATTGGAAAAGATTTCATTAAGCAAATGGAGACACCTAAGGTTAGATAATATATGAGCCTATTTATATACAATGACCAGAATACAAAAATCCATAGAGGCAGCAAATTGACTAGTGGTTGATAGGATCGGATAGTAGGTTGATAGGATAGGATAGAATAAGGAGTGATTCCTAATGAGTACACAGGATCTTGCTGAGGTTATTGAATGTTCTGGAATTATATTGAAAAGGGTTACACAATATGGTGAATAGACTTAAAGCTACTGAACTGTATTCATTAATTGTGAGGTACATCAATATAATAATTGTTTAAACTTAAAAACAGTGAGTCTGTTTACCTTTTCTTATGTAACTAGAATTTAGAGACTATCTCTTATATGCTAGAGCATTTGTAAATGTTTCACTGAAATGATACACTTAACACTCAAAATGATGGTATATTAGGCATCTTTAATGCATAAGAAACCTGAGGCACTGGGAGGGGGTTAAACAATTTGCTCAGAGTCTGCTTATTTTGTTTTGTAAATGCCTAAGCTGAGTTTATGAAATCGGACTGTCTGACTTTAAAACTCAGGTCACGTGCTAACCTACCAGGAGTAACTACCATTAACAGTTGGGAGAATATAATTCTAAATAATTTTCACTGAGGAAGTATGCTATAGTTTGGTGTCACCAAGAGATCATGTGTGGGACAATGCAAGAAGATTCAGAAGAGAAATGATTAGATTATGAGAACTTTGAACTAATGGAGAGATTAATCCATTGATGTGCATTAACTGGCTGTTAAGTGTAGGTAGGTAGTATGTGGTTGGCTAGAAGAGGTACGTCACTGGGCATGTGCCTTTGGGGTTTATATTTTATCCATGAAGAGATCTCCCCCCCACCTTCTGTGTGTGTGTGTGTGTGTGTGTGTGTGTGTGTGTCTGTATGTGTATGTGTATGTGTTTCTTCATCCTGCTTTCCAGATCCTGAGTTACTTTTATCCAGAGTCATTCTGCCTTGATGTCTTGCCTTACTTTGGGCCCAGAGATATGAAGGAGGTTGTCTATGGACCAAGGCCACTGAAACCATGAGCCTCAAATAAACTTTCCCTCCTCTATGTTGTTCTTGTCAGGTCTTTTGGCCACAGTGACAACAAAGCTGACTAAAACAGAGTACATATCATTTAAATTTGGGCTGTGACAGTTTGAGCAGAGCTGAGTAGTGGTGACAGAGACTACATGATCCAGCAAAACAAACTATTATCTGGTCCTGTACAGAAAAAATTTCACATTTGCACCAAACTGTACATGTTACTACAAAACTTTCTTTTATCATTTCATGCTATATTATGTTGAACCTTTCAGATTTCCTTATTTTCTTTAAATGTCTGCAAAATAAAAATATACCCACAGTTATTAAATCATTTGCAATGAACGGAAAGTTTATGTTCCCCCCACAAATTCTTTCATTGAAATCCTAACCTGCCAAAGTAGTGGTATTAGAATGTGGGACTTTAACGTGGTGACCAGGTCATAAGAATGGAGCCCTCATGAACGGGAATAGTGCCTTTTAAAAGAGGTCCTAGGGTGCTCATTTGCCCCTACCACCAACCATATGAAATCATAGCAAAACAATGGTCATCTATGAACTAGGAAACAGGTCCCCACTGGACACCGGCTCAGCCACTGTGCTTTGATCTGGGACTCAGTAGTCTCCAAAACTGGGGGGAAAAAAATCTCTTGTTTTTAATGCTATATAATGATATTATATAGTATTAGTCACCAAGATTATGTCATTTTTTTGTAGCAGCCTAAAATGAGTAAGACCACTTCTCTATGGAAACACCATGGCTAAGAAAAACACCATGTCATTTAACAAACTACCCTAAAAAAGTTGAATTAATTTATTTACTCTCTAACACTACCTATATTTTGTTGGTCTAGATATCTAGACTTTGAGAAGCGTTATGACTTTCTCACCTGAATAAAGCTTTCTTCTTTGGCTGTTCAGTAGCCCTCCAACATTGATGCTGAGTCCTGAGCTGCAGAGTCAGGTCAGTGTGATGCAATCACATAGAGGAAACTGTCCCTCACTCTTCTCAGCTACCTTATCCTTTCCAAGCTTGTATCTTTTACATGGAAACTTATGATCTCTTACAAGTAGTTGTAAGAGTGAAAGAAAAGCTACTATATCTGGTTGTTGTCCTTCTATAGTGAATACTGTGGTGTGCCTTTTGTGACTGAGGCATTCATTCTCCTCCTGTTGGTAGTCCATGACTTAAGAGTTGATTCTTTGGGAACTGCCTTCAGCTCAATGAAGACAACTTTATTATGGCCTTCTACCAGAGGCAGATCACAAGCAATAACTGGTGAATGCAGAAATAGGAAAGGCAGATGTCCTAGGCTCAACGACAATGATGGGGGGCCATCCATCTGCAGAGTTCTCTGTGAAGTCAGGTCTGTACTGACCTTAATTCAACAAGCAAGACTTTCTCGGTCCAAGTCTTATCTCAACTCACAAAGGTGATGCACAAATAACACTACCCCATAAAATTTCCTGTGGAAAACAGTCCCTTTCTAATTCATGTGATAGTTGACTTTATGTCTGAATTTAGGTGAAGAAAATGACTACATGTGGCTTAGAGCCTTCTCATTTTGGGCCAACCCCACACAGAGAGCCCCATGAAGTTCCTCCTGCTAGCGCCCTTTGTAGGGTAAACACACAAGATTCATGCCTCAAATTATTATTTTTTAGAGAAAAGTATGAGCATTCATCAGTCTCTTTTCCCAGTAATGGGGTTCTGAACTGTGATAAAGATGTTTATGGGAATCTCTGAGGTTCAGATTTTCCCTGGGACTGCATCTCCCAAAATGTAAATTTGGCTGAAGGTAGTAAAAAGTCCAGTTGTAGCAGTTAACCTAATCTAGGATACAAGTCTACCTCCTTAATGACTATGCCAATAATGCCATTTTCAACTGCTTGATACCTTTGTTTTCTCAGTTGACTCAAAACTCATGGGATAGGGATAGATCATGATCATGACCCCAAGTCCACACTGACAAAGCGCAACAATATATGCATCGAGTTAGGAAAGCCTTCATTCCTCGCTATGAACTATTATGAGTCTTAGTTACCGAATTTTATCTATGCACACAGGGAGCTGCTTTTCCAGCACTCCATTAGAGAAGGACACATCCAGATTCAAACCTCAGCTTGGACACAGGACAATTTTATTTAGGCAAATGGGTTTCCCAAGCCTGGATATACACAGATCCTCTCAAAACTTTTCAGAGAACAAAAAATCCATTCTTGTCCATTTCCAGAAGGTGAGAACAGGGCATTTCATCCTGACAAGACTATTTCAAGTTTGAATTCTGAACAATTAGTGAATCAGACTCACATCAAAATACACCAGTACAAAAGTAAGCAAAAGATGGCAGAATTAGAACACAGAGCAAATTATCAGGGCCATTGTCCATGACAGTGGCTGCTAACCTGGGACTCCAACAATATCTGGCTCCAGGCATCAACAACTCAAGAGTCATCCTCATTCTGTTAGTGTGTGGCAATAGAAGAAGAGCAGCCTGTGACAGCCAGCCCCACAACCCACTCTTGTCTAAGAAGGAGAACCCAGCTCCTTGATAGTGTTTTTAGAGAATAAGCTTGATCCCTGAGAGTGGATGAGAAGCTGAAATGGGTGAGGCAGGGCACTGACCAACATCAAAAAGCTCAGAGACAGGCCTCTGACCAAAATAAGAAAGTTCTACTCATACCAGAGTGAATGCAGCCTGAGGCTGGGTATTTCCCACTCTGGAGAGTTTTCTGTCGTGAGACAGCACAGGATTAAAGATCCCTCCCACTGTTGAAAAGCTAAAGAAGGGGAAAAAAAAATCTCTTTGAGCTGGTGGAAAGAAAGTTCTAGGACATCACAAAGTGTTCCAGGGAAGGAAGTTGTGATTGGAGGTGGAGATGGGTGACTTTGGAATGTTGACTCTGGGGATAGAATTGATAACTTGATTTTTGTTCAATTCTTAATTTTTTAATATTTTTAGTCTGGTGCCTGTGATTTCATGAACTCAGAACTAGGAATACTATTAATATCATGCATCTAGTCCAAAAAAAAACAAGCTCAAACATTTAACACCATGACCTTCAAAGCTAGAGAGGAGATGAATGCTAGAGGAAGAAATCCTTCCTTGCCATATTTTTCTGAATCTGTTGAATTTGTAGATTTTATAGTAGTCAAATTAAGTCTGTGTTACTGAAATGAGAGTGGGGAAGGGCCTGACAAATTAATCATGAATTCTATTGGGCATTACACAGAATAGAGCACAGATAAGATTTAAAGAATATGTTCCAGTCCCTATAAACCTAAGGTACCAGAGATTGCAGTGCAAAGGAACCAATCACTAGCCGAAGAGACGGGAGAAAATTTATGAGATCTTTCTCAGGCTGGATTTCATAAGCTCGTCATACCAGTTTCTGCAGGAATGTAGGAATTATTGCAAAATGGTTAGGTTCTACAAACATATCATCAAAGCTTCACTGTACATTGGAAAAAAATGTTTCAAAAAAATTTTTTTAAATAATCCATCTTTTTAAATGCCTTAACTTATTCTTCTTTGTATGAAAAGGAGGAAATCTACCAGCTCACCTGTGTCAAACCCCACACTTGGCACTATGTCCACTGTTCCATGAAAGGCTCCGGCCCACGCTGAGGTAGCAGTGGTGACTGTAGTCGGATCTGTCTTTGTGATGTCACACTGGGGAGCAGGAATCCTGGCCGCTCTCACTGACGGCATCAGCAGGGGCCCATATGAGGGATCCAGGGCAGAGCCAGCAGCAGGGTGGTGGTGGTGGTGGTGATGGTGGTGGTGACGGTGGTGCATGTGGGCATGGGGGTGGTGGTGCCGCATGTACACGTCATGCATGTGGCTGTAGGATGGGCTCACCTGAGATGCCAAGGGATAATGCCAGGACTCAGACACGGGCGGGGGAGGGGCTGGGCCAGTCTGATGCAGGCCGTGTCCTGGCCAGGGGCTGGGCTCTGCAGCAGTAAAGGTGCCAGGGGGTGCAGTGACCTGGAAGTCAGGATGAACTCCCCCCAAACAGGGTGCAGGTGGGGGCTGGTAGGAGCTGGTCCAAAAGGAAGTTGGAAAACTACTCCGCGGGCTTGAGAGAGCTGAGCTGTCTGAGAAGACAGAAAACACATTATTTACATAAGATTCAATTCTGGGATAGACTTGCCTTTACTTGTCCGATAATGTTTCACAAGCAGGTGAATCAGCATGCACTCTTCCTCTCCCCACACAGGGGTGAACTGATATAAAATGTTAGCCTGTGGGCTCCCATGCCAAGACAATGGGCAGGATTCAAAGTGCTGAATACCACCTTCACCCCCAGCATTTGCTTTCTTAGTTTGTGCTGTGGCAGTCTGTGCTGAGGCTTGCAGTTTGGGGATTGAAAAGCTTCATTTCCTCTTGGGAGGTTTGGTGCCTTTAGGCCTGAGCACAGGTCATGGCTACACTCTTCCTGTAAAGAAAACTTGTGCCATAGATGAGTCGTGTATGGATTGGAAATAATCATTTTGACCAACTTCTTTTAAACACAAATATATTTTTCACTCAAACCAAACATTCCAACTCAAAAAGTAACACATGTAAGTATGCCTACATTTTACTGTGCTCTCTAATTTTCCTTTAAGAAAAGTATATTCCTGGACCTGGGGTTTTGGCTCAGTGGTAGCATGTGTGAATCAATTTTCCCTTCAGTGTTGGGATCAATTCTCAGCACCTCAGGTAAATAAATGAATAAAATAAAGGTCCATCAACATCTAAACTAATATTTCAAAAAAAAGTGTGTGGGGGGCGGGGGAGTGTCTTCCAACCTCTTTTTACCCCCTGTGCAGAACTGGGAGTCTTTCAATTGTGATAATAATGGTTAACATTTAATGAGAGTAACCAAATACCCAACACTAGGTCAAGAGCTTTGCATGGATGCCATAAGATCCTCACTCTAGTCCCATGAGACTGTTATTTATTATGGACATTTTAGAGATGAAGGAATGGAGGCAGAGAAACCAAAGATTTACAATGGCAAGCACAAAGCTGGGCTTTGAAGCTAAGATATCTGTCTTTATTTTATTATTTTATTTGTAGTGCTAGGGTTTGAACCCAGGGTCTTGTGCATGTGAGTCAAGCACTCTACCAACTGAGCTATATCCCCAGCCCAAGACATTTGTCTTAAGAATCAACGGCTGGCATGCTTCATAATATGCTGCAAAAAGAGATAATTATAACTACAACCTGAACATCTGGAATTTGTTGAAAACTCTAAGTAGAGTTCATGGGTGTAAGGAGGTGTTTGAAAGAGAAAATAATATCAAAGAACACCACACAGAAATGGAAGAGGGGGACTCTTCCTCTAACTCTGCATCAATCCAGTGGCTCAACTGTCATGACCTATTTCTGAATGACCTAACCTAGTGTATGCCAAACATAAAGGGGTCAGGAATGACTAGACAAATGTCATTTTCAATCACCATTTGGAGGAGGACAATAAGTCAAAATGCATAAGCAAAAAGACATGGCAGGCATTCTCACAAGAGGAAGCCAAGAGAAAGAACACCGAACCAATCTAATAAAGTGGAAACCAAGTCTACATTGAAAGGTTGAGAGGAAGCTAGTTTTGTGAAGAGGTAGGACAAAGCATTTTAAGACAATGAAAAAGCACATGAACAAAGACCACTTATCACATACACATGCACACAGTAGCAGTTGTAATAGCAATACTGAAGGGAAAATGAAATCAATAGGCAGAATTTGAAAAAAAGAAAGATACTACAGAAATATGAAGGACCCAGATGAGTGTTCTATGAATTATTCCTAACTACTGATACAGATTGCCAAAAATATGAGTTATGCATGTATAAAAAGATAGTATTTTCATACTGGGTTCCACATAAGAGAACCTTCTAGATCATTCCACTGAAGAAAGGATATCAAAGTACTCTGAAAATTAAAAGTATCCAAAGTATAATGTGTTCATGGTCTCACTTCATTAATTTACAGAACTTTTTTTTTCCTGCTTCAGGGAAATAACTTGAATTAACCACTCTGTATATCATGAGGTGAGTATAATTTGGCTATCACCATCATGTTCAAGCATTTTCTCCAACTTCCCTGAAGACACTGGCACCAGCAGTGCAAGCACTTCTACTCTCTTCCCTGCAGCCATCATGTGCCTCCATTTATCCTGTGAATAAACAGCCATTTAGAGTCTCATTGTCAAGCATATCCATCATAGCACCATGACGGTTTTGAAAGCTTTGAGGAAACTTTTGTTCTTCAAAAGGCAAAGGATGATGCTGCACAATTGTCAAGTCTTCCCATCTTTCCAGGAAACCTAATGGAATGACTGTGGTTTGTCACAATCTATTCAAAAGATCCCACATAAAAATCAAACTCACTGGCATTGCGGCAAATATACTTCATTTAATAATTGTTTCCAATTATGAAAAATGCTGCTAATGAAGGCAGGTGCAGTGTTGCATGCCTGTAATTCCAGTGGCTGGGGAGGCTGAGGCAGAAGGATCATGAGTTTGAAGTCAGCCTCAGCAAAAGTGAGGCGTTAAGCAACTCAGTGAGAACCTGTTTCTCTTAAAAAAAAAAAAAAAAAAAAGACAAAATAGGGCTGGGGCTCAGTGGTCAAGTGCCCCTGAATTCAATACCCAGTACCCCCCCCAAAAAATGTTGCTGATGAAACAAAGGACAGTTATATAAATTATGAGAAGAAAATACAATTTGCCTTAAGGGATGGCCATTTGTAGAATATTTTTGTCACATCTACAATGAAAGCCACTAGTATTTAAAATCTACACAGGGAATTTATAGATATCCTCTAAATTACATAGTGAAGCTTTTGCCACCATCAATCTGTCATTTTGCTGTAGCAATTCCTATCTTTAGGACCAAATCATTCTACTCTCAAGCTTTATCTCTTGGTGTGCCAGAATCCACACTCCAGCTTACAAATATGTGCCACAGATAGAGTTCCCTTGAATAAAGTAGCCTATCAAAATTCAAAATTACAGAGTGTAGACTGTTTCTCTGGTTGCTTTCCTTTTGTTTATTCTCATTTATATGGACATGGAACAAATCTTATTTTATACATGCCTAAACATTTTGGATATACATACACAAATGTGAATAATGAACTAATTCCCTACCAAAATATTATTCTTATTTATGAAGTATCAGGTTGTGATTAGTGTACTCATTATTATTGAAAGAAGACATTTACAAATACACTCCTTAAAGATTAAACAAAGTACTAAAATGTCCAGGGAGGAAAAAAAAATTAAAAGCAACTTAATATATTCCCAATCAGTATATCTCCTGAGATCAATATAAAGTTTACAAAGATCTATGCAGCCTTTTTCAAAAACACTGTTGCATTTTACAAGTAAGTGAAACAATATTGAATGGAAAATATGTGTATGAAAAAAAAATGCACTTCAGAATCACTATTTGCTATCTTTTTTAAAGAAAAAAAAAAATCTTGACACAAAGAAACAGATGATATGCTTTGTTTCATGCTGGAGAATCATTGTGCTTATTTCATATGTATGTAAATTTTTTTCATTACATGACTCTTTGCTTACRAGTACTTAATCACAGCCACATTTGTTGGATGAAAAAGCATATGAAAAACAGCACGAGCTATTTCTGTGCCATATTACTTTTCAGGTTAGTGGAGACAATTCAAAACTGCATGATATTAACACTCTCTGGTGACTTTGGATTCAATATTATTCAATATTTGGGTGATATTAAACAATTTTTGAATGATGTTAACACTGATAGCCTAACACATATGAAAAGCCAAAAGATAATTTGGTTCACTTTGCATTTGGGATTAAAGAATCCCCACCCCACCTCTCTCTCTCTCTCTCTCTCTCTCTCTCTCTCTCTCTCTCACACACACACACACACACACACACACACACACACACCATAGTTTATTTCTAAACAAAAAAAGAAAATGATGAAATTGATATATTTTTGTTCAGTGCAACCAACCCAAAGCATACTAAGTAAATCTATCTGATTCCAACCAGAAATGTATCTTACAAAATCTAAGGAGTTTCTTACAGTATTTCCTCCAGTTTAATAGCTGTGATGCTCTTTACAGTAACCCAAATTGTTTCTTAAAAGAAAGCAAAATACTAATGATAAAAAATTGAAGAGAAAATTGAAATTATAATTTAAAGAATTTAAAAAATATTACTTAATTTTGAAAACAATATTAAAAGACAAAATGAGATAATGAAATGCTGTAGGACCTCTATCTTAAGTCATCTTAATAATCTCCAGAAAACACATTCTTAGAATAAATATTGATTAAACACATCAGTGTTAAATGATAATATTTATCAGCTTAATCTCAGTAAAGAAAAAAAAATCAGCTCAATCAATCATTTTTAACCTAAAGGGATACTGATAAAATCCAAGTGCCACTCTCCTGTTCAGCTTCTCATGTACACAAACTGTCAGGTCAGAGGTGAAATGAAACATGTTTCAACATTTTCTGTCATTCAGGAATTATGCATTACCATCATGTTCAAAGATTGCCCTCTAGTTACTTTGTTGCACAGTTACTCAAAATGGGCCCCGTGACTCTACAATGAGAGTTTTAAAGAGTGACATCAGATGCCCATATCCTTGGGGGCAGAAGAATGAGGTAAGTCAAGCCTTGCTTCCTTCTCACGTGTTCCTCCTCAACTTCCTGAAAGCAACAACCTCCAGAGCCTCCTGGACATTCTGCTCAACTCTGTCCTTCCAGCCAGACTGTTCCTGAGATATGCCTTCCTCGTCCTTTTTTCCAAAACTGAGTTGCCCCAAGCACACCCTATGTAGCTCAACTAACCAAAAGATAGTTGCTTTGCAACTACAAGAAAAGGAGAACAAAACACCAATAAGTTTTCCATTCAGCATAGTTTTAAATATGTGACCTATCTGCCATTATTTGATTTGTTACTCATTTCTACACACAATCTCTCTCTCTCTCTCTCTCTCTCTCTCTCTCTCTCTCTCTCTCTCTGTGTGTGTGTGTGTGTGTGTGAAAATTAACGCACAGATATATTCAAAGCCGATGTTTTTATTTGGATGGGGATAAGGTTACAATCAGATCATTATGTTTTCTTAACTGAAAATCTCTAATTAATTTCTGATAAAAAGTATAGTGAGATTGGAATTAATTGATGAGATGATTTGTGAAATAATGTATAAATATTTTCTCTAATCAGTTTAAGTACAAAACACATAAAGTACTCTCCTATCTTCATTAGAAGATATACATTCAAACTATAGCTGTTGTTTGATTGTCACCTGACTTTTTTCATCTAATATGGAAATATCTTTTGTAGTCAGACATAATTCAGTTGCAGCACTGTAGCATATCTGAAGCATTGCAATAACTCCATGATATAAACTAGACCCTTTAATAGAGCTGGTCAGCAGCTCCTTTGTAAAGTGTCATAGTCACTACTACTAACATGATCAATAGCCTTTAGCACCTATTATGTCCAAAACACTCTGCTTTGTGCCAGAAATATAAACTTTCAGAAAACAATACTTCTGGATAAAAACTCAAGATTGGTTTTCTACTTACCAAATGAGTGGAAACTTACTTAAGGAAAAGAGAAATGTCATCTGACTTTCATTGAATGCCTTGATTCAAGCTCTGTGCTGAATTACTCATATACATTATCACAAAATCTTTACAATAACCCTAGGACTTGACTATCAATAAACACATATTACAATTGAGGAAGTTGATCTCAGAGAGATTTTAAGTTATTAATCCAAGATCACATTACAACCAGAAACTAATAAGGTTTGGACTTGACTCCAAAATAAATAAGCTCCAAAGACTGCATTTTTCAACTTTGTATAGTTTTCTCAATTAATATTAAATTCTTGCTGGCACACGCTACAATGCCCGCTACTCAGGAGGCTGAGGTACAAGGATCAGAAGCTTGAGGCCAGCCTGGGCAACTCAGAAAGAACCTGTCTCAAAATAAAAAAGGTCTGGGGATGTAGCTCACTAGCAGAGCACTCCTGGGTTCAGTCTCAACTACTGAAAAAAAAAATGTCATGAACTATCTCCATCATATATGTGAATCTCATTTTATTTTATCTTCTCTTTAATTTTCTGTATCTTCGATTACATTTTGGGGCTCTCCTATGAATCCTACCCAGCTTTTTTATGTTTATTTAAAATTGACTAATTCAGAACTAGAAACAACCAAGGTAAACTTCTGTTCACAAATGGAAAGTAAATCGTGCATCTGAAATCAAAGAATTTTACAGAACAAAATATTTTCACAATTACTTAATTCACCGCCTTATCTTATAAATAAGAAAAGTGTATCCAAAGGTTTCATACAAATCCTGAGAACAYAGTATAAATTTGGTTCCTTTAATTCAGTCATTCAGTTATTTAATTTATATTTATTTTGGAGTTTCCTCATAGAAATGCATTATCTTGAGCATCGGGAAAAATGATGTGAGATAACTAGGTGTGATATTCATAAACCTAGTGGGAAAGAGATTAAAAAGCTCTAAAATATATGCTCGACACTACCACTTTTCCCTTCTCTCCACATATACAAAGACTTTTGCTTCTCATTGCCCATGCTAGGGTCAATCTTCTGAGTCTTTGCACTAGCAGTTCCTTTTTTGTAGAATTATTTCCCCCTAAATAGTCACATGATCAATCCTTATTTCTTTCAGGTCTCTGTCCAAATGTAACTGTTTCAGACAGAGCTTCCATTATGGCCTGCAGTAAAGTAAGACGTTGCATGACATTTTTTCTTGATTACCTGTTGCTACCACTGAAACATAAGCTCCACAAGTGTGTAGCTTCAGGCTGTCTCATATAGTCCCAGTACCAAGAACATCAACTAGATATGCTAGGAGCTTGATAAATAGTTGTTGAATAAGTCAATGAATGAAACTGGAGATAGATTTGAAGACTGAATTGAAGATTATGCCAAGAAAATTCTAATTATGGTATTAAAATATTACCATTATTCACCCTTTGTATACTAAAATGTGCCACTTGATCAGAAGTTTTCTCTAAATATTTCCAATGAGTCATGAAAATATTATAGAGTTTTTGCACATAATACAACAACCCCTTTAAAACGTTTCTGGCTATGATACTATAGACAATTGCTCTAGACAATTTGGTGCCCTTTTGTTTTTGAGTTTAAATGATTACTGGGCTTTATATGCCAATAAACTTAAAGTAGAAGATATTGCAATAATTATTCTCCTGGAACTAATTAATCTGATAAGATTTCTTATTGATGCATCATATTGTTTACTAAAGAATCTGATTCACAGAAACATTCTTATTTTCACCCTCTAAAAATTATTTACCATGTGCTATCAAATAAGACATTGATTGACATCATAAGTATTTTAGGTTTTCCAAGGACTGTTTTAGTTCCTGTAAGAAATCCATAGTATTTACTAATCAAATAAGCAGGATGTTTCCCAATTCACTTCTACTGAATCTTGTTATCTGAGTGTAATCCACCTTCCCCTATGGTCATGACAGAATAGTTTATATTTGCTAGAAAAAAAAAAAGGAGGAAAAAGGGGAAAAGAAGGAGGGAAAGAGGAAAAGGTGAGAGGAAGGAAAGAAGAGAGGGATGGAAGGAAAGCAAGGAGAGTGAAAGAAGAAGGGTAGAAGAAAAGGGGGGAGGGAAGGAGGAAGAATGGGCAAGAATTAAAAAGGTGGAAGAAGGGAAGGGAGAAAAGCCCTGTATCTACAGATCTACAGATCAGGCTCAGCAATTCCAGGCCAGTTCTCTGGCTGTAATAGAGCAAAACCATTCCTCTGACATTGAGAAGGATATTAGTTCCCTCTCACTTGACCTGCTCGAAGATGGCCAGCCTGTCCTTATTATGGGAATCACTCAAGACACTTGTTAAAATGTGATTCCCCATGTCTTCTTCCAGAAACTACTATGCTTCAATAGACTTGATACAAGTGGTCTTTGATTTGTCTCCAACAACACTAAATCAATGATTACCAAATTTGAGTTTGCCTCTCAATCACTGGGCATATTGGCTGAACACAAGTGGACATTATCCCAGAGTTTCTGATTTAGTAGATTAGGGGATGGGGTGGATAATTTACATTTCTAACAAGCTCCCTGTGATGTTCAGGGTTCTGATCGGGAACTTTGAGATCCATTTTATAAGCACTTCTCATAACCAGGTGAATTTGTAAGAAACATCTGTACCACATTTCTCTGAAGCTATCATTGGAATGATGCATTATTTTTTTCTAACCTTGTAATTACCATGAAAATGTCACCCAGTGATTTTTTTTTTTGTTAGAAATCAGATTCAAATAAATCTCTGTGTCCTCCAGTATAGAAGAAAATAAGAAGATGCTCAATCTGCAGCGTTTTCTTTATTATGGTGAAACATCACTTTATATCATAGAAATGCTGCCAACAATGCCTAGTTGTACACTTTAAAGAGTTAATCCAAAATCGGCTGAAAAGCAAGCTATGGAGAGAACACAGACTGTGTCCCTGGGTCGGACTCAAATCTCCACTATGTCACCACGAAACACCTACAGGAATGGGCAATAACTAGCTTTTTTAGAAGAGATTCCGGCACGCCTATTATTTAGAGATCCAAAATTGGGCCATCGGGGCTTCAGGAATGGTGCTTTGCTTTTTGATTCGGCCACTATAAACTCAGGCCGGTTGCATTGCTACTTTCCATGAGGAATTTAAGGGGTGTGACTGCATCCTTTCCAACCCTGCATTCCACATGTGACAAAACTGATCCAGCTGTTTGTCTGAAAGAAATTCCTTGCTGTCCTTAAAAATTAAAAAGCAAGTGATATCCGTCCTCCAGAGGCAAGTCTCCAGCTGGAACCTGGTACAGGCAGTTGCGAAACAGAGACAGTGCCCTGGAGAGCATCTGCTTTTGAATTCTTACCTCGCCATAGGGGGGTTAGCCCCATCTTGCTTTTTGAAATGGCAGATTCTGGATGGAAGGTGCTGGCTTGGCCCAAAGCTCTTGAGAAGTGTTCATCCACTACTGACCCAATGTCTCCCTGGAAATAAGTGAAAAGGACACAGCGAGAGTTAAGGTACTCCATCTCGGCAGGCTGGTCTTTCTCCTCCTCCTCCTCCTCATCCTCCTCCTCCTCCTCCTCCTCTTGTTTGCTGGGAAGGGTGACTTCCAGAGAGTCCTGCATCTTGCTGTATACCGCTAACTTCTTCTGGGATGGAATAAACAAAACACAGTATCAAAGACCATTTGTAAAAAAGCATTAACCAGTTAACTTTTCACTTTAAAAAAAAAGAATCTAAATATTAACATATGTTTGCAAATTGATTCTTCTTCATCTGCTTTATTCCATCTTTTCCCTCCTCAAACCAATTGCCTCCTTCCCACACTAAAAAAAAATCTACTATTCCAAATCAGTTAAAGGGAAAAAAAAAAAAAAGCCTTTTTCAAATTGTATATTTTCAGTGTCAGAATTTCATTTTTTGTTTGTCTTTCTTTAATTTAGTTGTACTACAAAAGATAATAATTTTTTTTAAAGTGACAGATTTCTTCTATTTTTTCTTCCCACTTTTGATTGACTTTTAAAGATGTAATCTACAGTAGCATTATAGTTTAAAACAGGGAAGAACAGCGGATAGGAGATCTAACTTACTCAGGGCACGATGGAAAAGAAAAGAGCTTTTCATAAACGAAATAAACTAAAATAAAAACAGGAATGTAGCATCTTATAAAAGGATTTGGCAGATGTGCTGAACTCATTTCTCAAAAATCAAACTAAAATGACAAAATAAGTCTGTGTGAAGATCCATTTTGCATGGAACATATTTTTCAGATGTTCCACTTACCACCATTACATAGAGAGAAAAAAAAGATTTTATTGTGGCTTACTGAAAAGAATACAAAATGCTGGAAAGGACTAACTTTCCAAATAAAAATGAGAAAAGCCTTATAATTTAAAAATATTTTGAAATATATGATCATAACACCAATAACAATTAATACATATTAAGCCAGATACTCTTCTAAAAACCTTGTGTTTAGTTCCTCATTTAATCTTGACAATTCTATTACATGGTTATTATTAGTATCTGTATCTTAGAGAAAAGATATTAAGGCATAGAGAAGTTAAGTGACTTCTCAAAAATCACAGAGCATGTTAGTGATGGAGGCAAAATGCATAATAAAACATCCATGGGGAGAGATGTGCATGCATATGCATTACAGGGAACAGGAGAGGAATATCTAGGGTGGAAGAAAAGTCACCAAGATGTTGTATTTGGTATTGTTTCTTTGAACAGTAAGCTGTAGTTTATTTTTTTATTCTTGCATTTTGATATTTCCACATATTTTTTCACTGAGCATGTATTATTTGTATCATCAACTACTTCAATATGAAATAAATATACACTGTATTGTTAAAGCTTATAAAATGCATTATTTCAGTGACCAAATAAGCTTTCTATATCATCTGTTTATTTGTAAAACCCCATCCCTTCTCATATCATTTTTCTTATTTCAGGAAAAAAAAAAACAAACAAACAACAACAACAACAACAAAAACACACACATGCTAGAAAATGAGTGTGAATAGACAAAACTAAACTAAATCATTGCAAAATACTACTCATTAGTTCTGCAAATGTTACCAAAACACGTAAACCTAGATTCTATTTTTCTGATGTAATTACTAGATTCAAAATCCATAGCACCAAACTATAAATGATGTTCTTTGGTGAGGTGGACCCTGAATGTTTAAACACATTGTGAGGTGTGGTTATTAGGTTGGGGCTCTTATTTACACAATATATGTGTTGCTTTTTTATTTAAACTTTGTGTTATTATGGTATCATTTATTAATGAATAGATAATGAATAGGTAATTGCAAAGACTGCCTAATATATTTCTTATAATCTATTTTTTCACAGATTTAAGCCTGTTTAATTTTACTTGAATGATAAAAACAACATAATAACATAGATTATATATAAAAGGAGGGGGTTAAACTAAATCAGCTCTAAAGTTAGTTTCAAATTCCATTAAAAAATTAAACAGATATTGTGATCAATTAGTCAAACCACAGTGCTGTTTCCTTGTGTGTATATATATATATATACTTATTCAAAGCATGCTTTGTTGAAGGATATGCACACACATTTTCTTGAAGAGTCTGGCATACTAGAAAGAAGCACTGCATTTTTATGGAAGGGATATTAAAACTAATCTACAGAGCAGCTTCACTCACTGTCCATAGTGTTCATTCTAATCTATGAAACTGATTCTCAGCACAATTTGTGAGAATCAGGCTATGCATATAACAGTTTCACTTGTTTAATTCTAATATTTATTCTTCAAGTAAAATAGCCTTGGCTGTGTTAATTATCCAAATAAAGGCAAGAGTTTATTTTATCCTCACTTAGCAACAATTAATTCTTAAGTAAAATAAATTTAAAGTTATATATACTGAAAAAAATTTTGAAAACTGCATATCCTGATACATATGTAAAATATTGTGATCAATAACAGCAATCATACAATATTTTAATTTGTAATTGATGGCTGTTGAATTCGAGATACAGATTTTTCAATCTATTTAAGATTACATAATTTTCCAAATGCTGCACTAGTTTTGTGGGGGTTTTTCTCTCAGTTATTGAATGACTGAGTACAAATAAATTAATGCTTGAACGAATATACTTTTCAATACACATGGGCGAAAAGTAAGCAAAATCTGCCCTTGTATCAAAACAGCTGTCAGTCTAGTTTTTAGAAATCATTCTTCTGCCCATTCATGCATTGATTCTCTATATCCTTTATATTTCACACACATGTAATATCTCTGTTTATATTCTTATAAATATGCATGTCAAAATACTTCATTTTGATATTGCAATTATCTGTGGTTCTAAAAAAAAGGAGCCTATGATGTTCCTATCAATAAGCAGTATTTAAGAATATTTATCATTCCCACCTGCACTTTTTTCAATAAAGTGGATTAAATTTTTATAAAATATACAGAACCAATTTAAATACTTATATCTCCAAAACTCACATACTTATAGCCTCACAGTTAACATCACTGTTTAAAAGAAAAATTTCAAAGTATCCAAATGACCTGATAACTACCTGAAATGCTAAATCTGAATTAGTATAAATTTTTCAACATTAATTGTGAGCATAAAGAACACAAAAACAAAATTGAAATAGAAATGAACTCATATGCTGACATTCACACGACGCTAATTTTCTTCTTTATAGACTCTTGAGCTTAACTACTTTCTTATATCTGTGCTTTGGTGATTATAAATCAATTATTTGCTTTTTTTTTTTTTTAATCCACCATACTACTAGTGTATGCTTTTGCCATACTCTGTATTCACCAATGTTTATTTTTTGGAATGAAATTTCCCTAGAGTTACATTCTTTTTTGAAAATCATATGAAATTTAAAATATTGATATGGAATCTAATAATCACAGAACCTAAACTTCCAAAATCAAATTAGAAATGTAATCCACTTATATTATTCCCCAAATACACAATCACTTCCTAATAAAAACTCAATCTCATAAGTATTCATAATTCCCTTATAAGCCTCTGAAGAATTGTTAAAAGAAATCAAGAAGCTGTCAAAGGTGGCCTTAAAGACTACAATCACTTCACCTAATGCACATATATGTCTCACTGTCACTGCCTAGTAATGACAATATTTATTTCCCCAGGTAATATTACTTTGGAGTTAGGTGAGGCAATGAATGGGTTAACTGACACACAGTGAATGCTAACTCACAAAGGTGTAAAGCAGGAGAGTGAAGGAGAGTTGGCCCAGGCAGTGCAAGCCTTAGCCACCACCTCAATGCCTGCCATTAAGCGCAACAGAAACAAACTGCAGCAGGAATGTGCAGGGGAAAGGATTTGTCTGACAAGAGAAAGACTTCCATGTCAGGAGCCAAATACCACTAACTCCCCAAGGCTTAAGCCTGCAAAATGCCAAATGATTACTGTGCATATGTGGAAACTTTTTTTCCTAAGGAAACAAAAGTATTTTAATGAATCACTGCAATCATTGGATATTTAGAAATAGCTTTTTCTTTTTCTTCCTTTCTTATTTTTTAAAAATTTCTTCTACTAGCTATCTTCTTTAAATGCAAGGATTTGGGGGGGGGGTGGTTCAAAAACATGAGCAGTGCTTTTAGAAAGAACCATTGGCTTTTAGTAAATGTTTCAAAACTGTGAAGCTCATTGCTCTTTCATCATTTTTTTTTAAATTTACTTTAATAACAGAGTTTTAAAAATATCTCAGAGAGACTTGAGCTTTGAGATCTTCACCTGTATGGAGGTGAATGGATCAGGAAATGCAAGGTTGGGTTAGGTTAGTAGAAACATGCCATAGACCTTTTATACATTTTATTTCATTTACTCTCTCTCTCACATGCAGAAATACTTTCCCAGAATTCCCAATTTACATATGCAAAATCTGGCTAATTTAGCCAGGATCACCCAAGTAATAAGAGGCAGACATGGGATTAGAACCTATTTCTGTATTAATACAAATCCTGCGCTAGGAAAACAGACTGGAGAAGGTGAGTCTCAATAACATAACTTATTTTGATGGAATAAACAAACATAACTCCACGGTCAATATGACATTGCATGGCAATTAGGATAGTCTAATGTTATTTATAGCATTAAAAATTACATTATAAACATATAAGGGATATAGTTATTAAGTAATGCAATGCTCTTAAATATATGCATGTCTGGATGAAATGTAGTGTCTAAAAATGTACTGTCTCCTTGGGAATCAGACACATAATCCACTGGCCTACAATTTTTCTGGAAATCCTATTTTGGAAATGTGAGAAGAGTCAACTTATAAGAAACAATCACCTCAAGATCCTCTGTTTTTTATTTATTTTTCTTAATCTGAAATGCTATTACTTAGCACAACAAACTACTTTTGAGCACTGTGCCTCTAAATGATTCTGGTTATTATCAAAACTCCAACCTACCCCCTCCAAAGATGAAAACTTTTCCATTTTTATGATGTTCAAAAAAATGTGCCACAGGCTTAGAAGCAATTTCAAAATTTGCATTCCCAAAATGTTTTAAGCAATGATCACATCATTAGGGTATGTGTTTTTTCTCAAACCAACTACTTTGAATGAAACAACAGTTTCCATGCATAAATTTCTGGTATGCTTTTTATAATCCT